TGATTAAATATTTAAAATAAAATAAAATCATAGTAGAAAACATGCCAAACTTATTTTCAAAGAATTTTGTAAAACCTATTTTAGATGTCCTCAATTTTAAAATTTTAGATTCTTAGCTTTCCCAGAGAGATGAATAGGTTTTATTTTCTGTTAACACTTCATACATAGATACGTTCTATAGTGATATCACTCAAAAGTATGAAATCTTTGCTCCTTCGAATACTGCAGAATTACTTTTTAGCTTTAAAAAAAAAAGAATTTCAGAAGCGAACACGCAGCACTGGTGAGATATATAAGTTCGTGTTTTATTACTTCTGACTTCAGTACGAATTTTAGAAACTGAATTAGAGTCCCACTCTAACTTGATAAAAGAACATAGGTGACAGAATAAATATGTTTCCATTTGGATCTAAACCTTATTGCTAACTTTTATTATTTTTACAGAACAATTTTAATTTTGAAACATGAAATGAAATAGTATTTTTTGCACTATATTATATGATGAAACTTATGATATTCATAATTGCTAGTTCTCTAGTTGCGGTGAGCCAAAGACACATGCATGTATTTTCTATTTTTACTCGGCAAGCTCGGTACTCCTCAATATAGTATTTTCCGATTTTGCTTTATTTTGGTACATAATTGTGTAATCCTAGTTAAATTATTTAATATATTACCTAAACAAATTTTTCGGTAGAACAAATTTGAGTAAAAGACTTGCAAAAATTTGAATTTTACTGTTTCAAAAGCCTGAAACATTTCATTTAAGAAATGCACCTACAATGATGTCTAATTCTTAGTAACTGATTAGTTAAATTAGATTTTTTGGAGTATGGCGCTCATACTCTGAATATGTTTAACCATTCGCTATTTATTATCATTAAAGTATCTATAGAAATTTTTTTTGTATTTTATTCTTCTTTTTCGTTATCAATCAGTCTAAATTTTTACAGTAATTAAGGCAATAATTCACTATAAGAAATAGAAATTCTTGAAAGATTTTTAAGTGCTCAGAATCAATAATGACAAGAGATTCTGGTAATGATTTCAACGAGGGATAAAATACGCTTCAGATTTGTGGTTTGGTTCATTTTTGAGGATTTTTTAATATTGCACCAAATTGTTGAGAATAAACTACTGTTCAAACTATTTTGCTAACATCAATTTATTGGTAAGCGCTCAACTGGCGTCTGAAAATACGTCAGACGTTAAATACTGTCGGGTCGAATCTTCAAATCCACCTTTCGTCTTTTTTTCTTATTATGCGATTGTTGTATGGACAAGTCTGAACGGGCTAGATGGATAAACAGACTAGACATGACTATACCCAAGGATGCTCTGGACTAGGGTTACTTCTCATTTACGAACATAAAGAAAATAAATTTTAAGTAAATTAAAATTTTTAAAATTTCGCTTGATTTAAATTTGATAATTTTATTAATTGTTCGTAAAACGATTAAAATTTACATTCAACTTTTAAAAATTTGATTACTGCGAACGAATATTGAAAGTAAATTGTTTTACAAGATTTTAATAAAAAGTTTTTTTTTACTAAGCATGCTGCAATTTGTAGAGGACGTTAGGTTTTGATTGAATTAAGATTTTCGTTTGGGTCTAGCTGCGAAGACTTTTAATGAATGTACTAACTGGTTTGTTTTTCTTTTGTTATTGATAAACTAACACTCATAATGCACGAGCAAGGATCGTCGATTTGAGCTGAACCTAGAATGATTTTAGTTAAAGACAAAGCAAGTTTTAAGAAGATTGTATCATAATTTGTTGTGATAGTCTATATTTGTTCCGAATGTGGTGTAGATGGATCGAGCTATGGTCGTCAAGAGAAGACGCTTATCAACATCTATATGTCTAAGCCGTCTTTTTCAGAACATCATTTTTGTCTTTTTGATTTTAATGCATAAATGCTTTTGCACCTCAATTAATGGTGTCGATTCAATGTTTGATTCCATTTTATAATCATAATTATATGGTCTGTTCAAAATAAAAAACAGCTGATGGCATTCATAGTAACAATCATGTCTCGTGAACTCTGTAAATTGCAGTAATTAAAAAGAAAAGAAGCATTATTGTAGTTTAGCGCTCTCCACAATTTACAGCTGGTTAAATTGAAATAACGAAATTCAATCTTTAGCGAACTCTATAAATTTCATCAAGTTTAAAAAGGTAACTGACAGTTTAAGTTGTATTAAAATTGTTGTCAGTAATTTTTTTGTAATTTGGAAACCAAAAATTTGAGGCCTAAGATTATTTTCAATTTGAATAAATTAAATTTAAAAAACAACTGAAATTGAATTAACAGATTTTGAATTTCGATTTTATGTTCGCAAATGAGAAGACACGCTCAACTCATGTGAGAAAAACTAGGGTAATAATCAGATTTACATAGATAAAAAAATGATTCTGATAAAAAATAACCGAAAAAATCATTATTTCATTGATTCTTCGAATTAATTTCGATTATAATCGATTAATAATTGTGGAAAAAACATCGATTTTAATTGGTTTTTCTTCGTGATAAACAAAAAAATCTTTCACCAATTTACTTCTGATCGTATCAATTATAATCAATTTTCTTTCATCAAGTTTTAATCGATAATCATTAAAATTAATCAGAATAATCAATGAAGTTTTGATTTTTTTTTGGTTCAGTTTGCTTATAATCGGTTGCAAAATGATTACAAATCGATTAAACGTATATGATTTTAATCGATTTTTTTCTGATTTTTATCGTGATTTTTTCACATGAGCAGTTTTGAGTAATGCCACAAACTGTATTGGATAATGACTATAACCAAATTGTTTCTAAGTAAGGTCGAAAATTATAACTTTGGTTGAAAGTTATAACAATTTAAAAATTCAACCGATTTACTCTATTATGAAACCTTCAAGGGCATACTTTTAATTTAAAGCAGTGTATGCTTGACAAATATATGTTGAATAAAAATGACTGTAACTTTTCGGGTTTCGTTCGTAGCTGTTAACATATAATAACTCAATGTTACACGGTCAAGAATGCATTGTTTCATTCAGAGGACACGAAAAACTACAACAAAACGAAACTTGCAGATGAATAGATAAAAAAAACACTCAGAGAATAATCTATCGGCTTCATCGCGTAACGCGTCACCTTTTATGACACTACCAACTTCGAAAATCACGTTTTTTGATTAATATATTCTAGTACAAAGCGACTATAAACGATTTGTTTCTTCTAGCAAAAGGCGATGCTGTTAAATTTAGTAACTACTTAGAAGATCTTGAAAGCAAATAAGGTGTTCTGAATCTTGATTTTCGTCATCGTGTTACGGAAGCGTCATCGGGTTACGTTAATTAAAATGAAATCTCATGTAAATAAATAGTATATTTGAGTATTCTTTTTTTTCCGTTGGATACTCCAAACTGTTGGCTACAAGTCTTGTTTGAATCATTTTTTCCTATGTGGCAGACATTCGTAGAAGATCAACAACAAACACGCCACCCTCAACTTTTTGTCCTTTTTTTCGTCATCGCGTTTCGCTATATATTTTAACTATAATTTTCAAATGGCTAAGCCAAATGAACTCAGATTTTCGGAGATGGAAGGGGGGAGGCGGGGGATTGAGAGGTACCTTTTGATGAAACAATTAGATTTTTAATTGCTCCAATTGCTGAGAAAGATTAAAAATACTGTATCCAAAACGTCATCGCGTTACGCTCGGTGAAGCCGCTATAAATACTAAGTTGTTGAAGTAAAGAAGAATGGAATACATATATTTTAAGGTATTCTATCAAACATGTCAATCAAATTAAAATAATTACTATTTCAATTTAATTAAATCTATTCAAAAAGTTAATCGAGTTAAAATGGTTGATAGTGATAACTACAGTTGACAGCTATAATCTAACTTATAACCATTTTAACTTTTTGATGTTTTTCTCAGGTATCAACTTTTAAAAAAATTGTTGTAACTCCCACACTGGCTATAGTATATGAGATTTAAGGAAAGTGCTTGTTTTACTGTTGAAATAAATGATACGTGGAGAACGTAATGAAGAGTTCCATTCTTGAATTTCGCTACAACTACGACGTTTTGTGAAACACGATCTGAAAGGAGTGTTGAAGTGTATAGGGTAGAAATTTTGCACCCACCCCCCCCCCCCCCCCCCCCCCCCCGCCCGGACAAAACCACAAACACACACGAGCCCGCCAGAGACCAGTCGGNTTATTTATTTACTTCGTATATAGTTGTTTATTTAATCTCTATCACTTATTAGTCATCTTTACTACCAGTGGTGAAAAATCTCGACTAGTAGAATTATAAGAAAAGAAAACATGCATTGTTCGAATTTAGAGTTCTCATTTATGGGAGACATCGTTGCTTCTTTTATTTTTCATTTTTACATCTTTTTGTGTTAGAATTCATTTTTCGACATTTTTCCCTTTGGATATTTTTTCTTTCGGCATTTTTACCCTATTTTTTTTTCTTTCAACATTTTTCCTTTCGACATTTTTCCTTTCGACATTTCTACTGCACACCGAGATAACAAATAGTAGAACGACATGTAATTGCGAAATCATACACGAGAGAAAAGAAAACAAACGCCTGTGCTGTGTGGAAACTGATGAAAGAACAAAAAATTAGTAGCACGAAGTGAGAAAATGTGAATCATATGCATCTATAACAACGGAAAAGTCCGTATTATACACAATAACATTGTGTAATCTGCCATATTTTTCATGATCGGGAAAAACCCAGTATTACAAGAAGATATAATGGCTCATTGTAGAATAAAAGATATTCGAAACAAAAACTATCTAGTCGATAGATCTACAAACATTATTTCAACATTCAAACATGGTAACTGCAATGAATCAATCATCTTGCTTCTCACAGCAGCCGAACTTGAACAAGCGATTGGTTCATTTGAAACAAGATGTGAATAAGCGAGTCAAGAAACTATCTGCACGGTTGAAGTCTCAGAGTATGTTTTCATCTAAGGTTATGTTTGCGGCTGGGTTCAGTTATACTGGAGACGGTGATACCGTTCGTTGTGACAAATGTCAATTAGAAGTGTCCGAATGGACTCAAGATATGGAACCAAAGCTAGTGCACGCTGAGCGTAGTCCTAACTGTCCATTTGTTTGTTCTACAATATCAAAATCTTTCATGGAATCAAATGATCAAGAAAACCCTACAAAACGTCAAAAAACAGAATCAAATCTTGATGAATGCATGCGTAATTATAAATTCGAGGAAGTAAACAAACTCAAGCTAATACGTTGTCGAACTTTTTCTCATTGGTCTCATCAAATAAAACCATCTGTTGAACAAATGATCAATGCTGGCTTTTTTTCATGCAATGTCGCCGATCGTGTTATTTGTTTGTATTGTAATTTGATTTGTCAACAATGGAAAGCAGATATTGATGATCCAACTGAAGTACATAAAACTCTTTCACCAAGATGTCCCTATGTTTTATCAATACTAATACAACCAGAACGATCTACTGTTGTGGTTTTAAATTCAATACCAACAAATCATCTAAACAATCAAAATTTTGAATCACCTAATGCTGCACAATTTCAATTTGATCAAATTGTTCATACAACACCGCTTAATCCTGCGTATAGTGAGATTACAAAACGTCTGCAATCATTTGCAACATGTTCTCATGAATCATTACCACCAGTAGATGAACTAATTCGAGCTGGCTTCTTTCATACAGGCGCTCAAAATATTGTAACCTGTTTTTATTGTAATGGTTCATTAAAAAATTGGACTGCTAATGATAATCCATTAATTGAACACGTTCGATGGTTTCCTCATTGTGGTTATGCAAAACAAGTGTGTGGCGATGAGCTTTACCGAAAAATTCAAGAAGCAAAACGAGCTCTACAAGGTAAATGATGAATGTTCTTTATTCTTAGAAAGAAAGAAAAAAGACTTTTTTTAAAATTTTTTCTTTGTTTTTAGAGCGTAATAGAGCTAATCGACCAAACGAGACAGGAGAAAATGGTAATTCATTGGTTTCAAATCATTGCCAATTACAAATAAATGATGCTAATATCTTATCACGTCTTGTCGCTGCTCGACTTGATTTATCGAGTTCACAACGTTTACTTGATCGAAACTATAAGTTATCAGTTATAAAACGTTGTTGGGAAGATCAATTACAATTAAAAAGTAAGTAAATTATATGAAAATATTAATATATTAAACATTGTTATCTATTTATTTAGAAGACGATTTTATCAGCGACGCTGATCTATTCATAGCTTGTACTGTTCTACAAAAGCAAATCGATCATATTCAAGGCAATAAAGAAAATATTATTATTCCTAGTGTTCAAATGAAATTAATTTGCGAAAGAAAACAGTCTGGTTTATCAACTTTATCAACACATTCAAACAGTGACAATGTAAACGTATTACAAAGTCAAACAGCTCCTGAAACACCTAAAATCGAATCAACAACTACAACAACAAATAAAGAAATTTCAACAATGTCAGAAACAAATTCTACAAGAATTTCGTCAATAACTAATCCTTGTATTATCTGTTATCAAGACGAGAAACAACTCGCATGTATTCCGTGTGGTCATTTAACGGCATGTGTTTCCTGTAGCCGAACACTTCGAACGTGTCCGACATGCCGCAAAGAAATCGAAGCATTCGTTCGTGTTTATATCTAAACTGGAAACCAGCCTATCAAGTATAATATTTCAAATGCATCCTTATATAGCTTGTTAATACAAAAATAACCAAGATATTGATATTTAAATGTAACAAGTCTTTTCAACTGTATACGAGAAATTAAATTATTTTTTTTGTCTTCAAAATAAAATATGTTATGATATCATCAGAAACATAAAAAATATAAGGATGCGGGTATGAGTGTGGGTGGGTAAACCTGAATATGGTAGAAAGTAAAAATGTCGAAATAAAAATGTTGAAAGAGGAAAATGTCGAAATGCATTGCATAAGAGTAGTAAAATAAAATATATTGTTGCTATGATATAAGTGAAGACTTTATTTTAATATTAAAAATGTAATAATCATATTTAAGAAGAAATATTTTTTTGTCAACAATTTTACGTTCGACATTTTTATTTCGGCGTTTTTCAGGAGAACCTATGGGAGTGTGTGGATGTGCATGAACAAATGATCCACACCTATCCTCACATCCCTCCCAAGTAGAATTTTTTGAAAAAAATTTGTTTTTCACTTTGAAAGGATATTTTTATGGAAGGTCATAGAGGTTCATATGCTGATTTACACTAAGTAGAATTTATCTGAGATGGTGAAACTCTTTGAGTGATTTACAAGCGAACTTTGGTAGGTTTCCTATAGAAAAGGCCTCATTTTTTTTGGGATTTTTCAATAAGTCTTCTATGACTATTCTTTGACGTCTCACGCGATTTTTTTCAGAGCTTTATAGTACCCAGTGGGTACTTAAAAACCCACATGGGCCCAAGTTCTATAGATTTCATTTTGTCCTGGATCGGGCCTCCTCAAAATCATGCTTTTTATAAAAAACACGTTTTTGGTGAAGGTCTCCTGGATGATAGGAACTATTTAGAGAGTTGAGTTTTCTAGAGAAATAAGTACTTAATGAGATCTCACTATGGCCAAAATTTCAGTGCTCTAGTTCGATCCATTCATGAAATATGCAAGTGCACAAAATATAGGAAAATGACAATTTTGCCATGTACTTTGTGGTATTGTTCAACTCATCAATGGTTCATCCATTTGAGCTTTTTTCTGTGGTAATACACAATCACGATGTCTATTCACAGTAAAATTTTTAAGTCAAACACATGTATACTTGATGAGATATCGATTTCACAAAAAAATCACAATAATGCACTTTTTTGGCGAGTGCCCTCAGAAAAATATAAATATCTCGACAATGGAACAATATTTTTTCAAACGGCTTGCGTGAAAATTCTTAGAACTCTTCCCTCTACAGCATATCTTAAATTGAGTAAAATCTGATGACCTCATTTGAGCAGCTTCTATGGAAGTCGCTCGTGGCTAATGCGGAAGGGCTCATATAAAGATAATTGCTTGATTCTTTGCCCTTTACTTTGTAATACGAATAGGATTTTTTTTCTGCTGTCATTTTTATTGTTAATTGGTGTTCATTCAAACAATAGTATAAGAAAGGTTAACTAGTTCATTTTCTAGAAAAATTTAAGTTAGATAGAGAAGTTGCCAAATCTAACTTTTAAGAATGAGAATATTTTTAAGAAAAGAAAGAATTTACTTGAACATTTTTATGAGACCTAAGATGGCTTCAAGAAATTTTCAAAGTTGTATAACTTGAAGTTTTGCTCCTTCTCCAAGTTCTATATGTAATGTTTTCAGCTCTAAGATAGAGTTCAAACAATTACAGACACGATTCACCAGTATTTTTTTGAACTAATATTAATATTAACTCTGGGATAGTCCGTAAAAAATTATACATCGATTATTAAACTTGAATCGATTAATTTCAATCAAAAGAACTGTTTGACAAGTTTTTTTCTGACCTGATGAGCGTGAATTATCATCGACATATTTTGATTTAAAATTTGTTTCCGTCATGTCTGTAATACAACTATGAAGAAAAAACTAAAAACATATTGTTCTATATATTTTGATAGATTTCTCAATCATAGTAACTAAATATGAAATAAATCAACATTTAATGTTCTTCAACAAATCGAACAAGTAAAATTGGAATATTTCTACGAAACGGTACATTGTTATGTTGTATTAATCGTGCACATAAACACTTTAAACTAGATTTCATTTTAGATTTTAATAATTGTCTTATAGCTACCACATCAGGTGCTACATCGATGGCTGTTTCACGCCGAATATTAACATAATCTAGATGTGCACCAGCATCACAAAGAAGTTTGATTATAGTTTCGTCGCATGTAATCGAATTAGATAAAAATATATGTAGTGGTGTATTTCGCATAGCATCAGGTTCATTCACGTCAGCACCACATTGTAGAAGTGTACGAGCTGTAACCAAACATGGATACCTCAAATAAGACAATATGAATTGAAAGAAAGTTTATTTAGTTTTATTGACGACCTACTTGCAAGTACGTTCAATAAAAGAATCGTCTACTAATGTACTACTGTCCAAACTCAAATGTAATAAAGATGATCCATTGAAATGTGTCACATATTTATGTTGATTAATAGAACGAAGATATCGATATATTTCTCGACGATCAATAACAGGCACATTCATTTTTGTGAGAAACTAAACAAGGTAGAGTTATAGAAAGTCTGACTCGGACTTAAAAATTAAATCTAATTAAACCCTACAAAAAGCGTTATTTCTTTAACTAGTTACGCTACATTCCATAGTGCTGAACAGTATAAATTTTCATTAGGATGTACTGTTCAGCAAGACACTATAAGTATCGTATGATTTAAATTCATACTGTTTAGCACTACGAAATGTAACAACTAGTGAAAGAAATAAGACTTTTTCTAGTGGTTATAATGAAGTCTGGATCAACAGTCACGCAGGATTTTTGGATCGGACCGAGAAATCACCGAAATTTCGGTTCGATCCAAGATTCTGATCTTTCAACAAGGTATTGTCGATAAAAAAAATAACACATCAAACAATAAAAAGAAAAGAAACTTACTTGACTAGTAATTGTTATTAGAAAAAGTAAAGTATGTAGATTAAAATCGAAATCGACTGTATTACGTTTTAATTCTTCATTTGTAACTTTTATTACCGTTAGCAAATTCTCAATTGGTATAGCTAATGAGACAAATATCATTTCACTAAACATTGAAGCAAAATGACGTAAATTTTCTGAATCCATATTAATTGAATATTTTTCACGTAATCCAAGTTCATACATCCAAAATGCCATTGCTTGATAATGTTGATTATTATCAGCTAGAATAGCACCATGATAACGAAGTGAATAACGATATTCGACATTATTTGGACCTAATAAACGTTCACGTATAAGTAATGCTTCGATACTTATAAGTGCATGATTTGAATAAATTTCATTTAATTGATCAATTGTTTGACATTCTTGTTTATGATTGAATAAATCTATTGTAGTTGTTGTTAATTTTTTTGGAAGATTATAAACTGATCTTAGATGAAGTGCTTGAATAAAATGTTGAAATGCTTCTTCAAAATCACGATCTTCAAGATCAGCACAAGCAAAAGCACTACCAAGCAATTCTTTAGCTTCGATCTGTTCAATTAATGAACAATGAGAAGAAATAGCATCTACAAGATTTGTTCGTCTCTTCTCAGCTGCCCACATTAAAGGAGACATTTTATCACAAATTGCTGGAAAATTACGAGCACCATGATCGAGTAAAAATTGTACTAATTCCAATGATCCACAATTTACAGCATCATATAGTGGTGGTCGACCATCATTATCACACATATTTACATCACAACCTAATTCATCGACGAGATAACTAGCCATATTTAAATGTTTACGATATACACTTACGGCAAGATTTGTATCATTATTTTCTTTAGCAATATTTATATTAGCACCATGTTCAATTAGATAACGAGCCATATCTATATTTCCATTATAACAAGCACTACGTAATGGTGTTGAATTTGTTTTCGTTGTATGATTAACATTAGCACCATGTTCGACAAATAGTTTAACCATTTCAAAATTATTAGTAGCTGCTGCTGTCCATAAAACTGTAACATTAAAACACATTTGTTGACTTTTATTTCCATCTCCGAATAATATATCATTTTTTATTTCAAGATCAGGTTTAAAACGTTGAAGTATCATACGAATTATATCATCATATCGATGTAAACAAGCAATAGTTAATAAAGTACATTTTTGATTGTATCCTTCATCATATAGTTGATTAAGATACTTATTAGGATTTGATACTGATAACAAATATTTTTCCAATATGTCGAGATTTCCATGTCGAACAGATAACAAGAGTGAATTATCATTTTCATATGTTAACATCAAACCACATTCCATAATAATAATAATAATAAAGATAGAGAAATAGAAAACAAATATTTACAAAATATTCTTTTTATTCATATGCACACCTTTACTTGTTTAGATTCTCTGTCTGCCGTTATGTGTAGGTGAGTCAGAATATGTGTGCAGGTAGTAGTAAGCATTCTTTGACAAGAAAAACAAAATAATAAAAGGAACAATAAAACCACGTGTGCTATAAACTTACTCTGTTTCTTTTTTATTGCAATGTACATGCGATTGTACTTCGTTCTTTTGAAAATATTTTACATTTGTTTTTATAAAAAAAAAAAAAGTACACATTTCTTATTATTCATCGGTAACATATTATTTACAACATAACTGTGAATCATGCATTTACATATTGATATATTTTAATATTAGATTTCTACTCATCCTAAATGTGTTACATTAAAATATTCATAACTTCTAAGACATCTTTTGTGAAGAAGAAGATAAACATATTTATGAAAAAACAAAAAAAAATTTATCAGCACAACTCTTTTGAGGCTAAGATATAAAACCACATATGTATTCTTTAGTTTCATTATAATAATACAGGATACGTAATAGGAAAAACTCTCTGGTAGATGAATGTCATTTTTAAAAAATAATTTATCATCAGGAGAACAATCTCTTATCTTTATTTTTATATTTCGAACAGAAAGTTTTCTTTACTGACAATCTAAGTTTTGTTTGCCTTGCTGCTATTTGCTCGTTACTTTTTTCTTTTTCGTATTCTGTTTTTCTTACTTTAACATTATTATTATTATTCTAAGCATTGATTTGGCTTGCAAATAAGCCTGTTACAAATATGCATTATATCTTTAGTAGGTCTTAATGCATTATTATATATCTCACTAAGCTTAAAGACACATATTGATCATTCACAAAGTTATATGTTGATCATTACACGTTTTTTATGTTAATCATATCACTATTGTAGCAAATCAATACATCAGTATTTATCATCGTTGACATCTTGAATATAAATATTTATCTGGACAAAAATCAAAAATAGAAATAGTATTCATTGCTCGAAAGAAAAAAGATTGAAAAATAAAAATTCAGAAAAAAATGTGCAAAATCACGAAAGATGACAATCCAGAAAGAAAAGCTTCGAAAGTATAAAATATAAAAGCAATTTGATTAGTCGATAGATATGTGATACATTAATCATCAATTTGTTGAAGAATGATAAAAATTTAGGAACTAAGAGTATATATTTATGTACAATTTTGACTATGATGTAATGTTTTATTGCTTTAGTTCGAAAGTAGAATTAACACAAAAAAAGAGTGAAAAGGATCATTAGAAAGTAAAAAATCACTATTGATTTTAGAATCATATTTTAACTTTCATAGTTTTTGTTACCCTTTGATTTTATTCCTTCAGAATAATCAACACTCCCAAAAAATATACTAATTAGAGCATTCACAAACGGTAAAATTGCAAAAGGTCGAAAGCGAAAAGTGGTTTTGCTACCCAAGGTTCACCAACGTATTCCAGCCATTAAAATTTCGAGGAAAGCGTTAGATTATTCTACAATTTCCTAGACCAATCTAAGTTTTCTTTTTAATGCTTTTTAATGCTTTTCTCTGTTGATACGGAATTCAGGGAAAGAAAAATTGACTCCTGTTATCTTCGTTATCTATAGAAACGTATTCAATGATCTTTGATCTTCCTCATCTATGCTTTGTTGCGGTAGAAAGATCGCAAAAATTCGACTTAAAGTTTATATTCACTATATTTTTCTTCGATACACATTATGTAAATTCTACAAAAACGTGACTCCAGCTCTATTTGTATGCAATCAATCAAGAAAATTTATTCTCTTATTTCAATGATAAATCTTATTATTCGGACAATTATGTGTAGTTGATCATTATTGTTACTCATTTGATATTTGGTGCCAGTAACATTGAATGAAAAAATCTTTTATCATTTCTAATAAATAATATATATGATCAACACTGATTTGGGTTATATGAGTACTACTTATTAGTAAAGATTAAAAAGATTTCTATAAAAAAATGACTAAAATCATTGTTAAACTTCACCGTCAAGAAAATATATTATTACTATTCAACATAATTTATATCGAAGAATTTTCTATCCTTTCGATAATTACAATATGAGTTTACTATTGAATGAGAAAGTTTTACAAAAATAATGACAGAATATATTTTTATAACTTAACAGAATAAAAATCTTTGCATTATATATGTTAATTTCATGTGACAGCTCCTGAGATAAGCCTTTTTTTAATGAAAATAAATGATGAATATATTTGCGATTAGGGTTTCAATGAAAGTATTCATACAGCGAGTATGATTTGTTAGCATAAATATTCAAATTATTTGCATGGATAACCAAACAATTTTATGTGTATGCATATTTTTCGTATACTCTGTTGAGTATTCATTCGAAAAATTTGTTACAGGTAAACTTACAAGTGAAAGCCTTAATACTCAGTGTAATACTCATTCTCATGTTTGTAATTGAATGAAACTGTGTTGAAAAGAAGTTGTAATAATGAATTAACTTTTTCATCTATTCTTTTCTGATGAATTAATTATTTATTATAATTGGATGAATGGTGATTCAAAGAAAGAGAACGAAATTTTTCTTTTTCAATTATAATTTTCTCAAGTAAAATCGAATATTTTCCTGAACATATGAATAATAATTCACTCAATTTCATTTTCCTAAATTTAGACATAAATATTTTTCTACATAAAAAAAAGATTCTTGCAGTAAACTCTGTGTGATTAAAATGTATAACACGATGCAGCTGTTGTTGCTAATCATATAAAGATTGTTTTATTCGATCTATTCTAGGATACAGTTCTTCAACATCCTTTTACTTAATCCTCAGGAAATTTAAAAGCGAAATATGTCAAACGTGATAACGATATGTTGTTATTGATATATAATCTTTAATTGTATATCAATAACCTCTGTCACGATTGGTGACGCAAATAGAGTAAAGTGAAACTGTGGTATCTCTGGTGAAAGGGANCTTGAATTTATATGGAGAAAACTAATCTGAAAGGTTGTCATGTAATTACTATATATTCGTAATAAGATCATTCGTAATCATAGGGTAGGAAGTCGTCAAATGTATTGGAAAGAACTCGCCAGTTGAAGCTCTTTCATCCTATATATGATTGTGCTGGATATAGTATGAAAAGTCCAATGGGCCAAATTACGGTCTTATGCGCCCCCGTCCTTTAAAAGCGAAATATGTCAAACGTGATAACGATATGTTGTTATTGATATATAATCTTTAATTGTATATCAATAACCTCTGTCACGATTGGTGACGCAAATAGAGTAAAGTGCAACTGTGGTATCTCTGGTGAAAGGGAGGGAGACGTTGCTAGGATGTCGATTATGTTCAGGCTTACCAAATCTTCTGATTTTTGGACTTTTCTCCTGGTAGAAAATCTCCTGATTTTAGAAGCTGATTTTCAAGATTTTCTCGTTTTTTCCTATTGGATTCTTGGCGACATTTTAAATAAATAAGAAAGGTAAAAGAAAAAAAGAGAACTATATCAGTGTCTTAATGATTACAGTAATGGATAAGCAAATGCGTTGCTTTTATTTTGTATTTCTTGAACAAAAGATAATCAATAACATGAATTAATTGATCAATATCGATTTTATTATTAAAATCTATGGTTTTGTGATTGGTTTATTTCAAAGAAAACTATTGATTCAACATTTAATATAAGAACATCTTAAATTACACGATGACGTGCTGCCGATGGCGCTATAATGTTTCATGTAGTGGCAGGTCTAGAGGAGGGACGAAAGATACACTCGCCTCTTACTTTGGACTTTCATTCCTGTTTTTTTTTCTAGTGATTTTCCTTGGAAATTTTGCATTTTTGTCTAATCCGCGCCCATTTTTGCTTATCCGATCTTTCCTTCAGAAGTTTCTGGATCCGCCACTAGCTTCAAGCTATAAAGCATTTTTATCATCATCTGTCACAACAGCAGTAAATAAGCTTATTTCTAGCTTTTCCAAGTTTTTTTAGAAAATATGAGTCCTTCTTCTATATACTTAATATAAGATTCTTGTCTCAAAAACAAGACTTTGAAAATAAGGCAAGAATCCGGTAGATAGAATCATACACAGCCACATAAGACATCTCTCATCTGGAAAGAATTTTGCATTTCTTGAAAGTCAGATCCAATTCTTTTTTTTTATCTCGAAATAGGGCAATATCTTCGACAATCTAGCAAGATTTCTGCATTTCATTTTCATTATTACTATGAAACTGTAATAATTTCATTTTCACTGATATTTTACTGTTGAAGTTTTACAAGAATTAAAAATATGAAAAAATGCATAGATCAATAATATAACGAGAAAAGTGAAGATACCGATAAAAATAAAATAAAATAAAAATAAGTAGAATTAATAGACATTTTTATAAAATGTTCATCGAGTAGATTATAAAAAACGTAAGAAAAAAACAAATCGTTTGTTAAATGTTACCTTATTTGTATAGCGTACTAACCGTAAAATGCACATTGAAGAAATGGGGGAAGAAGCCCATATAAACGATTCATATAGAGATACAAGAAATAAAAGATGATTATCTATCTTTCCATTCTGACAGGAATATTTTATCGTTCTATTAATTCATATAACTACTTTTGCTCGAATTTTAAGATGAAAACAATTTTAAGTGATGAATCAGAAAAGAAAGAATCGGGAAAGAATGAAGACAGAATAAAAACCGCTGAAGTGTATATAAAAGATATAACTAAATGTTTTCCTTATTCTTCTATAGCAAAAGAAAACATTACTTGTGATAGAACTCAAGTGAAAATAATATCATTTGTATTAAATTTTTGATCATCAACTTGATACGCAAGAGATAAAAGCGCTTATATGAATGAAAATTCGAATTTTCTATGAGAAAAAAACCTACGAAATGCTTCTTTAACTTCAAATAGAAAATCTCCTGATTTTTCACAAAAAACTCCTAATTTCTGAAATTTCAATTTGGTAAGCCTGGTTAAATCTTCGATGAATCATTTCTAACGTTCAATTGAAAGCATAAAGATCGATTGAAAGAACACCTTAACGGTCGTGAATTTTAAGCAGGATGTAATGATTCGTAAGATGACTAAAGATCAAGATAATATCATGCTATAAAGCTTGTCGAATACTGTGTTCATATTTTCTACAAATTCAAACGTTTCGATGTAGTGAATCAAATGTCGAAATTGCTTCTGAGCGTCATGGTGATAGTGATTTGCAGCAGTATAAATACTTCACATTTTCAAAAATATCGTTTATTTTGCAGAATAGTAGTCAATAGTTGGTCCTCAATAGTTAACCGCTTCAAATGTAGCAATGTACCAGGATGCTGTATTAGAAAATGAACTTTAATATTGAAGAATGAGATTAAATATTTACATTAGATATCAAAAATTAATTAACAGAAAAATTCGAAAATACAATACTTAAAATAGTTCTATGTCAAGATATCTCACACAGGCTATTAAACCACACCACAAATCATAGTTGAATCACTGCTTGAAATAGCATCACTTTTAGAAACTGCACCCGATTTCAGCCAACAAGTACCCCCATTGTATCGAGTCCATGCAAAATGAGTGCATCCTTGAACTTGAGCACACTTTCCACCACAAAGGTCTGCTGAAGTTTGGACACTATGCAAATCATTTCCACGGAAATCACACGACATGGCCCAATTATTTCCATTCCACTGAATAGTCGAACCACTTCCTCCTTGTTGGCCGTTAGACACTACACCACAGACCATAGCTGAATCACTGGTTGAAATAGCATCACTTTTGGAAACTGCACCCGATTTTAGCCAACAAGTACCCCCATTGTATCGAGTCCATACAAAATGAGTGCATCCTTGAACTTGAGCACACTTTCCACCACAAAGGTCTGCTGAAATTTGGACACTATATAAATCATTTCCACGGAAATCACACGACATGGCCCAATTATTTCCGTTCCACTGGATGGTCGAGCCACTTCCTCCTGATCCATCTGAGCTACTACCAGGACAAAGAACAATTTCATAATTTGCTTTTGAACATTGATACGTGCCTGTAGAAAAATAATAGAATGTAGAGAATATTTAAGTCATATGTACGTATTCTTACTTTTAAAATCGTCGAATGCCCACGAATAGGCATCCGGACATTGAGATTTAAAAACTTCATCATAACGTGTATTTTGTGTTGATCGTGGCCACTGTTCCACGTAACATTTACCACCAGGTGTTGAATTGTCATACGGTGACACCTACAATTAAGAGAACAATATAGTCTTATTGTTAGACTGTGTATATTACGTACACAATGATTTCCATCACATGAACAACAAACCAGCGAACGAGTATCTGGATTATTGTAAATATTTTGAAGATGAACAAATTTTGCTCGTTGTTGAGCATTGTAAATAGCAGCACAGATACTGGCACATACTTTACGACCCGTTCCATCGTCCATTTGCAACTCTGGAGGGCATTTACTCGGATCAAATATACACGTTGCCTAAACAAGAACAAATGAGTGAATGTAACAAACGCAATTAAAAATAACGCGTGCACATTGGATCAACTTTAATTATGCTTCTATAATATTTTGCGCCTCATAGTTTTCATTCTTTGAAGTGTTTGTGTTTTTCTGAAATATGCTTCAAATTTACTCTTGATATCCTTTGTTGAAAAAATAACTATCACTATGTAGTTTCATGTCTCCAACCCTTATGTGTCGTTTACAGGGATCTAGTCGAAAAAAATGATAAGAAAATCGAATGTAATAACACGATTAGAATTGAATATCTCGTTAGATATCAACATGTTTGAGAAGTTTTTTTTTATCGTCAAATACACCAAACAACTTACAGAGCCACAATTGTATTTTCCCAATGATGGATTATTGACAGAAGTGTACTGGCCAGGAATAGGTCGAATGATCATGCTCATTGAGTTACCATCGACATTCGATAGATCATAGAAATCTGAACCACCCCATCCATCTAGAGTGAACTCGGCAAGTGTTGCTGGTGGTTGACCACCTATTCCGTTGCATGTCGTACCATATCCGTTCACTGGTGCACCGCAATCACCTATACATCAATATGTTTTACTTTCGAATAATAGTTCTATATCAATAATTAACCTGTAGTGCATGTAAATTTGCCATTGACGTATCGACAATTCGTTCGTGGCCAAATGCGTCCACTTACCTGAAAAATGATGTTTCGTAATTAAGATTTAGTCAAAAGAGAAAAACTATGGTCAAGCGTGTTGTCTTACCCATTTGTCTGGTACATTTATATCTTTTGTTGAACGAGCACCCACTTCAACTCCACCAGAGTAAATCAAAGGTTGACCTTGTATACCGAGCCATATATTTTGATTGCACTGATTATTTATACGAAAAGTGCGTGCTACGCATAACGTCGGAATAACACATGTAAAGATAATGAAGTAGATATTCATCTTGACGACAAAAAAAGTGTCCTTTTTCATAGGTTTTTCTTCGAGGTTACTGTAAAAATAAAAAATAAGATCCTATGAATTTCCCGAGTACTTTTTTCGTTAAGTTTTAAGTCTATTAACTATAAAAGAACGTTATCTGACAAAAAACAGCTACAGAAGGAATATTCCCAGATGCTTCCCTTCGATTTCAATCGTTTTTTGTCAATATATATATATTTTATAGTGCCCTAGAAAGAATCAAAATAATTCGGATATCTATTGTTTTTCTTATCGGTTGATTTCAACGTATTTCTACTATATTTACATGAACTATCTCCTATCAACGTGACAATATGAGCATTTATAGAGCTCAGACTAGCGATCATTTGGGTATATTTGGACTTGAGAAAATTAATTGGTATACAACAACGTGGATACTCGAATATTTTCGAGAATCCATTAATATAAAAATAATTGCCAGCTCAAGTTTTATTACTTCTTAAGGTTTCACATGTCCAGAATGTAGTCTTGTATAAATTCGATTCAATAAGGATAGACATAAATAAGTGTTCACTATAAATTTAGAAACTGATCAAAACTATGAAACAAATAATCTTACGAAATTTTTATAAAATTAAACGAATCAGAATTTGAAAAATTCAAACTTTCAGAGATTGTAGAGCTCAAACTGACGATCATTTCTATAAAATTAGATTCACGAAAATATGCAAGCATCTGAAAATTTGTACATCAACTTCATTCGAAATGTCAGCACATTTTCTCAAATTCAATTTGATCAAAACTATAGCTAACTCAAGCTCTACAAAATACTGTTATTATCACATTGATGAAACATACTTTTGTATGAGGTTATGAGAGGAACCCGATGGAAATACTCTAATAGTCATTTAACTTGCAAAAAGTCATGTCCCGAGAAAACTCATTGCAGATAATGTTCCAAAGAAGACCTTAAAACAGTTAGTACACAATCAGTCACATCAACACAACAGAGAAAAAACATCAGTATGTATAATAACTGTTAGTACTTAGCAGTAAACATCTATTATTTATAATTTCGTTGAAAATAAAATATCCAAGATCTTTGTAAAAACGAAAAAATCGTCAAAAACTGATCCAGATTGAGAAATCGTTATACTTAACATTAAACCTAGTAGAAAATTTGTTCGAAATGAAAATACTTAGCGTAACAAAACACAGATTCCTACTGATGAAATTTTCACATATTGGTCTACCAAAAAAAACCTCAACTTATCCTTTAAAAAATTACAATTCTCTCAGGAACAAAAAACATTGGTAAAGTATAAGTTTTATTCAACTTATTCCGATTCATTTCTAAGAATGAATATTCTTTACCCATGAGCCTAACTCATCAACAATGAGCTTTTTCGTTCATGTTTTGGCTTTTGAACATTTTCTCTCATAGAATCGCAACATAAAGACTAGAATAGTTTACTTACTATCAAAGTAAAATGCTTGTATCCGATTGTAACTTTTGTTTGATCAGTGATCATCTCTCTTGCATATATATATACTGTACAAATGAAGCAACTGGGGTCTTTTCCACTTATGTTTATTGACATATAGCTAAGGAGTATTCCTTGCTTGAATATGTGGGAAAGTATCATTAGTCACTATCACATACCCATTCATAATTCAATCGTTCGTTAGCTTGACAGTTGATATGATTCATTTTCACATAAATTTACTGTGACGTCATCTCACTAACAAGCATAGAAGGAAAAAACAACAACATAGAACAGAAATCTTCACTCATTGACAAACTAGGCAACCATCATTAGTCACAATCATGTACTCATGTAGTTCGATCGATCGTTATATTTCTTATTCAGCGTCATCTATTTTCACCTTAATTTTCTGTAACGACTTCTCATTAAAAAGTGTAAGAGAAAAAATTCCAAGTACTTCATTTGAACGATATATATACTAGATTTTGAACATCTCGTTTTTTAAATGAATTAAAGTAAACTATCAAAACGCGCAGACAAATCATGAAAACAACCAGTACAAGAAAAGATTGTTTTACAATAAAAATAGACATTCGAAATATGCATGTGCGTCGAAAGAAACAGGCCATTGGTTTTCAAACTGATTGTAGGTCTAAAAAAAAAAGTAATGTACTTACATATACCTGTATTTTATTATTAGATTTATACTTAAATAAAATGGATGTAATACAATACAATAATACTAAAGATAATATACGCTTATGAGTAATTTTACCTTAACTTTCAGAATACACAAAAATTATATATGAGAGTGCTCAAGAAACATTCAATACTACAAGGCAAGTACTCAATTACCGTATTCATATTCCAAGACAAGAACTACGTATAATTATTTGCAGCACTTCCTAACGCGATTACTTTATGAGTACTCACTTGGCTAGGATGTATTGCAATGTGTGTTTTATCGTTTGTGACCATAAAATCAAAATTTAAAATAGAAAATAATCTTAAATTTCAAAAAATTTACTGATAATAGTTCTAATAAAACTTATACCTTCAGTTCTACTGTTAACTAGTAACTGCAACTTATAGAGCTCACTTGCCATAATTGTTACTATGTATGTCATGAATTTTTTTTTCTAAATTTGAACATACTATTTAATATCATTATAACATAGACTCAAATATCAAATGGACACAAACTAATCGAGGTTCAAAATCATTTATATACAAAAATCAAGAAAACGATACTAAAAAAAAGACGACTCTGAAATATGGGTGTTAGTGAGCATCTTCTCTTCACCCACATCCTTATGTGCGCTATACCGGCTATAATCCAACAGTAGTTTCATGTTTTAACGGTATGATCAAGATTTGATCCTACTATCTGTGATTCTAGAAATAAATATATTTTAACATACGTACGAATTTTGCTAAGTAATTTTTTCAATAAAAACTTTTCATACTTTGTATATTAATATATTCTAAATTGTTTTTGAGTAATATTTGACCATTTGTGAGAAAAATTGAATGGATAATACTCATTCAAGAACAACTGAAAATATATAAATATACAAAATAAGAGAATTTTTTTATTGAGAAAATTACTTAACCAATTTGTTGCATAGATCAAATTATATTTATTTCATAGAATCATAAGATCATGAATAGAAGTTGTAGATTCTTCTTTGCTCTATCATTTTGTTGACTAGAACCCAAAAAATTGACGATAAATTCTGTCTGAAAAAATATAATATCTATTATTAATATAGGATATATCAATAAAAATAAACATGATTAATACAGACAGCGAAGTATAGATATGAATTTTGTAACTGTCGTTTATATAAAGGTGAATTCCAAATCAATCCCACTAACTACACTGAAAACAGAGCACTAAGAATTAAGAAGGAGAAAAACAAAACTTTTTTATGGTGTTTGAAGATGTGATATCTTAAAACTATTCTTAGTGCTCAATCTGCTTTTAATGGTTCTACTGAAAGATGAAAAAAAATATTTCATTCTATTGTTTAAGATAAAAAATATGTATCAAACAAAAAACTCATATTATCAATAAAATGTAGTAGCTGCTCTATTACATTCAAAAAATTTTCGTTTATCATAAACTTCCGTTCGCTAAAGATTGCAGTAACTTTTTTTTAAAACGAATTATCTTCGAAAGTTAATTATCAAAAATTTACTTATTTTACAAACAACTAATAAAAGTGTTAATTTTAGATTAGTCAAAAAGTTAAAACAATTTTATTTTACTTAAAATTAATTTTCTTCATGTTCGCAAACGAGAATAAGTCGTTACAATGATGATCTTGAAAGAATATGATCATCGTTAAAAATCAACTTGATATCATCAGATTACACATCTTTTTTTTAGCAAGTTTCTTTTCCAACTCAACCAAATCATCGGTTTCAATTACGTTCTACTCGATGATATGTATTTGTTGAAAGATAAATACAGTGATGTTATGTCAATGGTTTATCGACTCAAGGAATCGTTCTTTCTAGTTTGTTTTCCAAGTGCAAAAAAACAAAACGTTGACCGAATAGAAAGACAAATATAAGAAAGAATTGTTAGGTAGTATAACGCAGTCTACGAGATACTATCTCTCTTTTCTTTTATCACTCTCGGTTGATTACTTAATCTCTTCGATGTTTTCTTTGGTAAGCCATTACGGATATAATGCGTTTTTTTGTTAGTTTGTTTTGTTTTTTTTCATCAAACAAATAGATAAAAAGTTCTAGTCATCTGCTGATAAATATTGCAATTCTGAAAAAATTTTCTTTCCATTTTTTCGATTATGTTGGATTTTTCCAATGACATATTGAATTTACTATATAAATTGTAAATAAGAAAATGAAAAATGTTTGTATAAGAAGAAATGTCAGTGAATAATTTGACTAGCCATCGTCGTCTACCTATTATCGATGCTTCGGTTGACCAAGATATTGGTCGCAATGATACTCATTCAAAAATGAAACAACGTCTTATTCAATTATCATTATTTATTGAACAGTGGCATTATTTTGTAAATCTAGAAGAATTTTACAACTTCCTCGATGATAATCCAAAAACTCAAATTTTTCTCATTATATCCGGACGCATTGGTCAAGAAATTGTTCCTACAAAACATACCTACGAAAATATTCATAGCATCTGCATATTCTGTGTCAATGTTAATGAGCATCGTCGTTTAAAAGAGAAATTTGATAAAGTAAAAGATGTTATGAATATGATTAATGATGTATATGAGCGAATAGCTGATGAATTGTCAATATTGTTGCTTAATATCGGTGAATCATATATACGATCAAATGATCGTGGTTTAGCTCACAACTATTTGAATGAAGCATTATGACTAATGAATACTGTACTTCATTTTCAAAATAATCATGGACGTGTAATTCAAGCGAAGGAACTGTTAGAGTCAATTGATTTATCGATTAACTTATAATTATCTTTTCTTTTGTTTTTTCTTATCAAATAAATATTCCAGAAGATAAAATTTTTGAATTGTT